AGAAAGGTTCCAGAGAGCGTGCTTACCTGATTCATCGGCCCTTCGCTCTCCACCACCCAACGTATGAATGAATCTTCCGCCAGAACATGGAAAGATACACCGCCATATTTTTTGTCCTTTGTGCATGTCGCCCCGCTTCCGGATTCATGTTGCCCGTTGATAAGGGCGGTTTCTTCGGTCCGATAGTGTCAGCACACGGTTTCTTCTCTCTCTCTCTCTCTCACACACACACACACACACACACACACACACACACACACACACACACACACACACGCGCGCGTGGCAGTGTAAATTTCGATGTTCCAGCGGTAGGGAAAAAAAAAAAATCCATGTATACCAGGGCGCACCATGCGCGGAAGTGCGCGCGGCACGCGCACGCCCCAGCGCACCGGCGCACTGCGCATCGTGCACGGGTGCGCGCACAGCCGAGGGGCGCATCGCGCACCGCGCAGCGCACCGCACTAATGTGCCGCAAGTATGATACAAACTCGAAGTCTAAAGTCTATCTCTGCTCCACGTGGGGTCCTCGCTAATTCACTGTAGGGGCCCTTCGGAAAAGAGACTGGACACAATTAGGACATGCACACCCACATGCACAGACATGTGCCCACAGTTTTGGGGTATGGCGTGGCCCTGACCTTTTTCCCTCTTGCTTTCTGATTTTTAGAAGCGAACGGGCATGTTTGGCCACCCCACCTTTCAAATTATGTTTTTTTTTTGGTGATGCGCCGCGTCACGTGCGTGCGCGTGCATGCGCATGCGCAAAGGGCCGAGAAAGGGAAGGATTTTTGGAATTCTTGAACGACAAATTTTCAATTTTTTGGACAAAATTTTTGATTTTTAATTCTGTTTTGGGCTACGAATTTCGGGAACGAGAAAGCACGTACTTGCGCAGGTTGTGGGTTCAAACGCCACAACACCCACAGCACCAAAGGTCCTCCCTCCTCAGTTCAAAGTGCTCTGAGAGCATTACAAACTCCTACTGAAAAGGGGTTCTGAATTTGCATGGAAAACGAAAGACAGAATTACAGAAAGTGTAAAAGACAAAAGTCTATCTCAAGTTGTCTGATTTCTAGGTCTGGCCTGTATCGCTGGGCTCTGGGGGATTTGGACCCGAGACCTGAGCCAAGTGTGAAGCAAAACCAAGTTGTTTCATTTCTGTTTGTCAAGTTTGCTGCCAGTTAGATTTGAACCTCGGACCTCCAAGTAAGCATCCTGTTTGCTAATCTTGGACGCATATGACCCTATAGGACCCTAGACATCTAAAATTCTCCAGGTCAGCGCCCAGTAGGACCCTGTGCCCCCCCCCCCCCAAAAAAAAAAAAAGGGACCCTGTTGGCCCAGGCAAAATTGGCATAACAAAAAGTGACGAGCTAGAAATGCACTTTATTCACTGTTCAGTTTGTGATTTTGGTGGGATGAGGAGGAGCAGCAGCGCCAATCTTGGCAGCTGAAGGAGAGGGTTTGGGCGCAGCCATAGCCAGTGTGTTCTGGCTCTATACCGCACGGTCTTGAGTGTCGTTTGTTACAAACTTCTCGGTGCAGCTTGGCCCACCACCTTCGTTGAT